TTCTGTCCAGATCCAAATGGTGAGATTGTTGTTCAGATTTTTTTTACATTGAATATGTACTTTAAGGTAGATCAGTACAAAAATTCAGATTGTTTGTTAATTTAACACACTGCCTGCAACCCCCATAAAACAAATTATGAATATGTGTTTTTGGTCAGTAAATGTAGAAATCTTGGGTTCAGATCAACTTGTCAATTTGCTTTTCCAGACAACAACAGACGTTTGCAAAGTATGCTCCTGCAGTCAGAGGAAATGCTCCATCTGATCAAAGCCAACTTTACTCAGATGATGGCCATTATGAAAACTGAGTTAGACATCTCCAACAAAGACAAGGATAAGTATCACTTAGATGCAATTGAACTGAGGCGAGACAAGGCTTTCCTTGAGGGAGAACTCAACTTGTATCAAAAGAAGTGCAAAGAGCATTTTGTCGATTCTTTACGAGGAATCCCCAACGTCACCAAAGAATTCCTCAAAAGGATCGACGACCTCTTCTCAAAACACATTTCTTTCCAGCTAACGTGCGACAAGCAAAAAATTCAGCTGGAAGACATCAGGGAAAACTGTAGCAGTCTTTCAAGAGAAGTTGAGAGCAAGCTCCAGTCGTATCTGAACGTAGTGGGGAACCAGTTCACAAAAATTAATGGAGAAAATGCCAAATATGAGACAGAGAACAAACGCCTGAAAGAGGACGCTGAGTGGTGCAATAAAAATCGCAGTGCCATGAGTCGCGAGAATCGCAAGAATCTTCAGCAATTTCAGCTCAAGAATGACCAAGAGAGTGAAAAACTTCTGCTGGAGAACAGAAAACTAAAAGAGGAGAACAACCTGAAAGATCAGCTGATTTCTGTGAAAGAAAAACAAAGTCAAATGCTCGCACAAACCATTGAGACTCTCAATACCTCACTTGCCAGCTGTAAGGTGAGGTTATGGTATTTCAACTTATGAACTAAGTTTTACTCTCTTTTTAAATAAATCATTGTAATGTTACAGTTGTAAGTTAGTGAACGTTAATTGTATTTTTACAAAATCTTCAAATTCTCTCCTTTTCAGCCACTAATGCGGCCTAACCCATTCATGCCAAATCCCTACGGTTTACCAAACATGCCAAATGCTGGTGGAACTGGTCTGAGTTCAACAGGACTGAGCAAACCAAACATGCCAGGGACAGGCCCCGCCGGGCCAGTATTTTCCGGTTTTAACGGTGCAGGATCAAATACAAGATTGGGCAGCACAGGAACAGGTGCAACAGGATCATTAGCTCCAGCAGGGACAGGGATCCTTTCAAATGGACTGGGCAGCACAGGATTAGGTGGGTCCGGTCTAAGTAGAACAGGTCTAGCTCAGACAGGGACGGGTGTGGGTGGAGTAAGTCCAGGGTTGACAGGATTTGGCAGTGCTGGTACTGCAACTGGCAATATTGGACAAAGTGGAACAGGGTCAACAGCATTCAGCAGTGCAGGATCAGTTGGAGTAGGGATGGGAAAACCGGTGGTAGGAGGTGCAGGTTTTGGCTCAGTCGGGTCTAATGCACCTGGAAATGGAGCGACTCTTGGAGGAGCAAGAACAACAGTGGCTGGGAGTGATGGTCAAACATTAAGCCAAGGTAAAAACCAAGCAGAAGTGGTACGATTCAGCACTTTTTAAATTAATATTTACTCATGCTTATTTTCACATGTGCATAACCTTTTGTGTTCACTTTACAGCCCAAATAAATCTCCATCTGAAGGAACTGCATCGTTATTTAATCCCAAATTGAGGAGTGAACAAAGTCCTGGCAAAATCAGGATAAAGGAGTGTTTGTATATATAGATTTGAATTAACTGTTTGAAAATAGAAAACCTAAATGTACTAACCCTGCAAATCTGTAATGTCAATACTAATTATGATTATTAATATACTTTTTATTTTGTGGGGTGAAGCTGACCATGTCTTTTGCACATTTATACTTGTATATATCGTATATTGTATATAAAAAATGAGTCTATCACTATAGTTGTCTTTCGTAGTAATGTTTTTGTTGTCTGTGTGGAATAAAAAAAGTAAAGGAAAAAAAATATATTCATTTCGTTAAATAATTGCTCAAATAATTCATAAAATCGAGCCACAGTAGTCAAATCTAATCTGCTTATAAAAAAGGTAAAAGTGGCTTGGATGTAATAATAATGTTGCAGTTAATTATATTAAATTAAATTATACAAAATAAGTGTAAATGGCTAAAAACAAGCACAAATGTCTAAAATGTTTTGCATTCTTTCAGCCCGAACAAGCTGTAAACAAACTAAATATATACTAAAAATACAATGAGTCCAAGCCACAGGTGTATGACACCAAAGCAGTAAAATGAACATGCATGCGTACAAGAAGAACAATTAATGAAATTTCCAAAAGGTCCACTTCACATTAAGCTTAAAATAGCTCTGGCTAACCATCAGGCTATTGTCATTGTTTTGCGTCAATGGGAAGCACTATTTAAAACAGAGCCGCTCTCCAACCAAAGCAAATCCGTTTAAGTGTCATACCAAGTCATCATTCAACCAACGTGCAGGAAAGCCAAACTCGGTAAAGTGATCACATTAATGCATTTTGACAATAAATATGTTGTGAAATAGTTAACCTTAAATATGATTAATTCATATTAAATATGCTGCCAGTGTGCATTGTGAATGAAGAAAGAAATGGATCTAAAATGCAGAGTAAGGTACTGGCAACCTGCACCATTTGAACATAATGTAAAACAATTAAAATAATTTCCCATGTCAACAAGCATCCTGTCACCAAGTGACAGGATGCTTGTTGAAGTGCCAAAAAGGTGGATCAGACAAAAGCAAAGAAACAGGGCGCCAATTAATATATTGAGGCGTCACAGAAGGAGCCCGCTATCCAGCTTAAAGGATATCCTTTGTTTGACATTAGTGATTTTCCACTTAAGACAGTAAGATCCCCTGTTCTCAAAGAGTGTAGACAGGTTTTTGATGGCTCTGACGTCTTGTCATCTTCTTTGAAAGATCTTTGTAAAGGAGACATCTGTTGAATACAATGGGATTATTGTTTGCAGGTGTGGAATGTTAAGTGCCAGTGTCTCTGAACTTTATCTGATGTTGCTTGGCCTTTTTATTTCCAGCATGCCCCATTGTATCAGCATAAGAATTATTACGTTTTTCTTTGGGGTCTCTTGAAAACAAGCATGGCGTTCCCGTTCTGCATCTCCAGGTAAATATCCCTTCTCCACCCTCGACCATGGAAACGCATTAGCGCTTATTATTATTATGTCCTTCCCACCTAGGTCATAGAACTCATCACCTTTTGTCTCTAGAAGCTCAGATTGTTTGTTCCCCCAAAGCACTAATTGCATTTCCTATTTGCTTGGTCCTTCTGTGCCCACCATTCTGGTAAAGACATTAAAGGCCAAAACACTTCTCTTGTTGACCTCTACACATGGTCTCTTAGGGTCTAGAAGAGATTATGTAATTTTTCAAAATGATGAAAACAGTGCTATTTAAAATTTGGTGTTTAAGATGAACTAAAAATATTATTTTAACCCACATGGAACTTTTCATTGACAATGTCAGGTAAAATACAATAGTCTGGTTTATGAAACGTATATGCTTTACAGCTGTGAGAAAATAAATTCCCTTTAAAATATACCTTTAGTCATTTTGTGAGTATTTTTTTCACAAAGCGTTTTATTCAACTGATGCGGATCAGCAGAACTTACTCAATATGCATCATCCAGATATGATAGACATCAAAATTATAGAGACATGCAAAATGTAAATAGAAAAAGTAAAAAATAATATTTGTGTGTGTGTTTGTCCAGGATATCAGAGCAGGCTTAAATTTGGTCAGTTGTCGTAGAATATATAAATATATATTGGGTGAATTTAGGTTGATTTTGACACGTTTTCCCAGTCACCTCAAGTGTCACAATCAACCTGAAATATGTTTCCATATTAAGGGTAACAACAAAGCATCAAACATACCATGTGATTATTATAATTATTTATAGGCCATATTGTCAAGCTGAACAGCCACCCATAAACCAATTATAATAGACTTTAGAGTAGGCCTCTGACAGTGACAGTTGAAAGTCATTCAATGAATTGCCTCATCTAAATTTATTTAAGATTTTAAACATTATATTTCAAGTGTTAATATATTGCACTGTCATCTTAAACGAATTAACTAACTTATTAACTAATTGTAAAATTTTAGGCATAGCGTATGTTTTAGCCTAAATGCTTTAGCAGTTGCTTTACAAAAGTACGGTGACAGGTTTATTTATTCAAGTTTATTTAGTCATTACTGGCCTTGTGCTCATGTCATGACATTATAAGTCACTAGACAGGTATTTTAATGCTTATATTTCTACAAATATCACGATTTTAATAATACGTTGTTTAGTGGCCAAAATCATGGTAATAAGGTTGACGAGTTAAGATCGCCCCCTACTGACAAAAGTAGCAAAATATCAGATAAAGTGGCATTTGTCCTTGATGTTGTTTTAAGTTTCTTTTTCTTAAATTATGTAAAACACTTTAATAAAGGGGAGTAATGATGGTAACTGGGATGGTTACCCAACGTAAATGTTGTATGCACTAAAATATAATATGTAGGCCTAGTGAAAAAATATCTAGGCTACATTTTTTAATTAGCCAAATGTGAATATTTTCTAGTAGCCTAATGAATTCGGTAACACAAGGGAAAACAAGGCATCTTCGTGAAGAAAAAAGTAAAATAAAAAGTATTAAATACTTTATATGACTTACTGGATTTGTATTGATGTGTTGGGGGATGCAATCCCTATGGTAAAAATGTCAGCTTTTTATTGTTAGTCATTAAACATTACAAGTGAGTGATCAACATTGTCTGAAATATAGTTCTATCTTCAGCAAGACAAGACTAGGCCTGTTGTTCAGTAGCCTAAATGTTCACATCGCTATGAATTCCAGTCTTTTGTCATACCTGTACCTGTAACTGAATTTCCACCTCTTTGTGCGCGAACGCTTTGCGCAGTCAATGTGATTGGTTCGTTTCAGTACATCTATGAATTATGCACCTCACGTTGCGTAATTTTCCAGAGAAGAGGAGACAGATGGCGCATAGCATACAACTTACTGACAAGTTACTGGGAAGCAAACAGCGAAAAAGAGCTACGCGGCCAAATGTAGGATGGTAGGCGAAACAGCTCTTGTCAATGTCAAATGATGAGGAAATCCGCAAAGTGTTGACAGCGCCATGGATGAACATGTGATTGACGATTTATGTTGCGGTCAATGGACTTTCTGCACCTGTTTGCATCAGGAAAAAGACTATCTCCGCTGGGGAAGCCTTGCTGGTTCCGGCCGAGCAGTTTCAGCACCAGCGCCGACGACGGCATCATCACAGCTGACGTACTCATAAAGCGGAGCAAAGCGAAGATCGCACGCGATGTCCTCGGCGGTATTAGGTGAGTGACGCTCACATACCAGACGCTTGCATGTTGTTATCCAGCTGTACTTGTTAGTTAAAACCTATGCTTGTTTCAGTATCGCTGTGTTTTCTTTCTTTTGTATGACAAGATTGATAGCTATTGGAGCAGGATAAAGGTTGATCTGACGGTCTGATATTTGTTCAGTAAACATAATTCGCCTGTTCGTTATCGGCTGTTGATATTGTTTGTAAGTGTGTTAAATGGTATGGGCGCGTAGTCTATGTGACTGGCACATAAGCACATAAATAGGCTACACATAAATATATCCTTCATATTTATGAAATTATTTATAACTGTGCTCATTCAAGTTGTTACCATGTCATCAAAACATTTGACCCCATATATTTGAGGCAAAATCATTCTCCATGATATGTCCATTCATTCCTGCATGTTATGCTGCTCGACAACATCATTGTGTTCGAATGCAGTCACTTGAATCTTTAATTGTGCTTTAAAAGCTACTAGAGCTATATAGTAGCCTAAGTGAAATGTATATTTGTAATGTCACACTGTTAAATGCTACATCGAGCTACAGCGTTTTGTCTAGTTCTTTTCTGTTAGCTCTTGCAGAATGGCACCATAGTATGTTTTTTTATTCTTCAAAAAACATGAAATGTTATTTGAGCTGAATAATGTTAAAACTTCAGCTCTCATTTTCTTCACACTTCATGTAACTGTCATGCAACAAAGAGCACAGTTTGTGACACGGTGGTCACAAAATTGATAACATCTTTCACACAAGGACTCTGTTTCCTCCAAAGAACTTAGAACAAGTGCTTCTACATCAGGAAAGCTTCATTTAACACATTGGCTCTGGTAAATAAAAGAAAAATTTGATTTAATTTGGCACTAATCCTCTTATTCGATTGAAAGGATTTATAAGTGTAAAGTGAGGTTTGGTAGGCAACGATTCTGTAGAAATGTCAGTTTGGTTTGACCTCAATAGGTTGATAGCTCAAATGTAAAGCTGTGAGTGGTTTGTGACCATTTGTGTGCAGAGTGCAGATGTTTCAGTGGTCATATTTTTTTCTACTAACTAACTCTATAAAAAGAGATGGTTTAATCTTTTTGGGTCAAAACACAATTACTGGATTCACAATAATATATATATCACAATAATAAATTCTTTCCTCTTGCGAACAGAGAAATTGCTCAGAGGTCGCCTCTTTCATGCCAGGCAGTACCTCATGGGGCATAAATCTACCATCGCAATGGCACCCACTGAAAACTGTGATATTGTTATGACATTCCCAGGTATATGCAGTTTTTTTATATTTTAGATGTGTTTTCTCAGCTTTACATCTTAAATAGTATGTAATATTTGCTACCTTATATGAATGTAAATGTGGATGTTGTATAACATTTATTTTTCATTCTATAAAAAATAGAGTGATACTAAAATGTGAATTTAACGTAATTATTTTATTAGATCTATCTTGTTATCTTTTCCACAGACACCACAGATGACCATACGCTGTTATGGTTACTGAACCAAATCCGGTTGGGAATTCCACAAATCAGAATCCAGATCCGACAGCATAAATACACGCACACCTATGCATTCTTCATTGCCTCAACCTTTGAGAAGTAAGACACTGTACTTGACACCTACTTGCCTCTAGAAGTATCTCACCATAGTTATTGTATTGTATTTTTTTCATATAAAAAGTCTGAAACGTTTGACAGATTCTCACTCGGTCCTAAATAAATACAGCAGCGAAATCATCTTTGTGTTTTGTATGAAGCTTGTTGCGTGGAGCCGAACAGATGGGGATGCAAAAGGAAGTGAAGCCACGCTATGGAGGCGGCACTCGCAGGTTTTCGTGTGAGGAGGATGACATTTATGAAAACATCGAGAGTGAGCTGTGTTTCTTCACATCACAGGTCTTTCTTAATCTCTCATTTCCTGCTTTATGCAGTTCTCTCATGTGAAATCATGAAATGTCTTATGTCATAAAGGTTTCATCAACACATTCATGAGATCATTTATCTGTGTAATTTTTTTAGGAGCGTCAGATTATTATCAAATATTGGTTGGATAATCTGCGGGCCAAACAAGGCGATGGCCTTCATAATATTCACTTCCTGGCGGGTCAACCAATCAGTAGATATTTTAGCAATTCTTTACTTGTTTTGTTTTTATTCTAAGAGTTCATGTTTTTTTCTCAAATCTGATCACAATTTTGTGTGTCCTTGGCAGTACCAGAGCTTATAGCCAGGGGCGTGATTCTTCAAATGTTTCCCCTTCATGAGCAGAGAATCCTGAACCAGTTGATGACGTCTTGGGTTCAGGCAGTCTGTGAGAGGCAACCTCTAGGTGAGAACTCCTACATTTTCACCAACATGCACAAGAGCAGAGGCGACTAACTTTTAGTTGTTCTGAGATGGCTAGCGCTTTGCAGTGTTTGTGTAATGAGATTCTTCCACGGCTCTTCCTTTAGCAAACAAACTCATGTGTATCTACCTACTTTCTTCAGGGCTGACTGATTTGCTCTAAGCAAATATGAAGTGCTACCAGTCACTACATGTCTTGTTATATGTAATTAGATCTCTAAAAAGGAGCCCAAAAGTGATTCATTGTGAAGATATAATGTTTGTATAGGCATATTTGACTGTATTGCAGTTCAGACATTTTGTATTTTATCTCAGTGCCAATCTAGCAAGTGTCTCAATTGGAATTTACCATGTTTTGGGGGGAAAAAAAAATTCCCCCATAAAATTTCATTGTAATTGCTTATTGTAAAACGGCTTATTAAAATGCTGATTGTTTGGTTGTCCTATTCTTGACAGATGATGTGTGTGATTATTTTGGTGTGAAGATTGCCATGTACTTTGCATGGTTGGGCTTTTACACCAACTCTATGCTGTATCCAGCAGTGATTGGCTTTCTGCTCTGGATCTTTGCTGAGTCTGATCAGGCAGGTTATTTTCCTTAATATAAGAGTCCTACACTTTTAGAATGGAAGTATAAAAATAATACAAGAGTTTTTCATTTGGAAATGAGGCCTGGTTTTTATAACCAACCCTTTTTTTCATATGTAGACAAGTCAGGATATCTGTTGTGTGGTATTCGCCCTTTTCAATGTGGTGTGGGCAACACTGTTCCTGGAGAGATGGAAGCGAAGGGAAGCAGAACTGGCATACAAGTGGGGAACGCTGGACACCCCCACAGAGTCACTCGAGGAACCCCGTCCACAGTTTCGGGTATGCTGAGAACATTTTTACATGACCTTATATTATTTAAAGTTATTGATGGTCGTCTCTGCCCAAAGATTAATATGCTGATTTGGTGCTAAAGACATTAGATATATAATGAGTTTCAGGATTGTAAGTTTAGAATTTGATCATTATATATTGGCTTCCCACCAGTGTTTAAATCAACCCCTGGACTGAACTGTAATTTTTGACTCCTTTTTCAACATATCAGGGAATTAAACGTTGCAGTCCAGTGACAGGCTGTGAGGAGTTTTTCTACCCACCCTGGAAGAGGAGAATGTTCCGCTGGCTGGTCAGCTTTCCCACCTGTATCCTCTGTCTCTGCTTCGTCTGCTTGGCCATGTTTATGTGCCTGGAACTTCAAGTAAGTCCTCTAAACTTTGCTACAAAACTTCCTACAACAGGCTATTTTAAATATCTGTTATGCAGTTATGCAATTTTCCCAAGATATTTAAGATTCATGATTCCTTTTACAGGAATTTGTCATGGAAACAAAAGAGTTGCCAAGCATATGTAGATTTATTCCAAAAATTCTACTGGCTATAACTGTTACTGTATGTGATGAAGTGTACAAGAAAATAGCTCTCTGGCTCAATGATATGGGTAAGTCTTATATCAGCTTACAACATAATAGTATTTACAAAATGATTTGCATTTTTGGATTGTTTTACAATATCTGTGCAAATGAATTCAGCCTGAAACATAAATTGGGTCATTATTATATAGCAGCAAACTTGCATTCTTGGTTATTTCACTGCTTGTTTGTTCATTATTATTTTTTCTTTAGTGACGCCTGTTTATTAATCTTTCCATTTTAACAGAAAATTACAGACTTCAAAGCACTTATGACAATAATCTCATCCTCAAAACTGTTTTTGTAAGTTTAACTCTTAATTTCATATATTTATCTGTTTATTTTTGTATCAGAATATTGTAAAAACTGTGTATTTGATAAATGTATGAAGTGTGCAATGGTTAAATATTGTGTTCTGAATTTAAAGTTTCAGTTCATAAATTCTTACCTCAGCCTTTTCTACATCGGATTTTATCTCAAAGACATGGAGCGGTTAAAGGAGGTAACATAGACGACAGAGTAATATTAAAGCAACAATGTGTCATGAATAAATATTTCTGCACCCCATACAAAAATAAATAAATAATGACTCTCTTCAATTTACAGATGCTGGCTACGTTATTGATCATCCGCCAATTTCTACAAAATATCAAAGAAGTGTTACAGCCTTATCTCTATGAGCACCATAAATTAGGTGCTCTGAGGACGTTATGGGACTTAATTCAAACCATGCTCCTGAACTATAGTCATTTGATAGTGCAAAGAATACGACTGATTTGCCAAGCCAGTCTGGACATGAAAAAAAGTGGCATACCTCCTGAGCAATCAGAGAAGAGAGAGAGGAGGAGTTTAATTGGCAGCTACAGAGTTCCCAAAACAGAGGAAGGAGATGATGATGCTGGTCTGAAGCAAAGAAAGGTCAGCTTCACCGAGAAGGTGGAATACAAAGAGAAGGTTGTAGAAGAGCCGACAGAGGCTAGCTTACAGGACGATGGCAGTCCTACCCTTGTGGAGGAAGGAATGGATCCATCCTTAGTATTTGATATACGTGATGATGACGATGATGATGATGACAGAGAAATTGATGATTCTGTGAGTAAAGCCTTAGGACCCCAGAGAAGAAAGACAAAATCTGCTCCGGACAACAACAGCATGGAAAAGAAAATGTCCTGGATGGACCCTCCAGAGGAGACTGAATCTACTGTTTTGACCCAACCGGAAGTTGAAAGTTGCATGCTAATTTATGAGGTCTGTGCTCATCCACCTTGATCATCAGTCAGCTGATGCCGTTGCTAATAATACAAGTTTATAAATACTATTTTTGACACGTATGTTATACTTTCTGAACTCATTCATGGCATTTTTACAAATTATATCAAAAACAAGAATATTTTCTTTTGACTTGCAGGATACTCTCCAAGATTACCAGGAGATGTTCATACAGTTTGGCTATGTCGTGCTTTTCTCTTCTGCATTTCCTCTGGCAGCCATGTGTGCCCTCATAAACAACATTGTTGAGATCCGAAGTGATGCCTTAAAACTTTGCACAGGCCTCCAGAGACCATTTGGGCAAAGGGTTGAAAACATTGGACAATGGCAGGTCAGGAGATCTATTCAGATTAATTGCTTTATAAATAGTTAATAGCAGATTGTATTTCTTATTGTTTGAACTTGTTTGTTCTCTCACTTTTGTTTATTCAAATTTAAACAGACTGCAATGGAGGCAATGGGTCTGATTGCTATAATTGTGAACTGTTATCTTATTGGTCAATGTGGACAGCTGCAACGACTCTTCCCCTGGATGAGCCCTGAGGCGGCCATCGTCTCTGTTGTAGTATTAGAGGTAAATGACAAGTAATATATTTAAATAGTAAAAAAAAAACTGATTGCAATATATATATATATATATATATATATATATATATATATTATTTTGAAAGAATTTTCTAACCAAAGCTGCATTTAACAGATAAAAAAATACTGTAAAAACAGTAATGTGAAATATTACTACAATTTAAAATAGCTAACTAACTTTTTAAATATATTTTGAATTGTAATTTATTCCTGCAATGGCAGATCTGAATTGTCAGCATCATTACTCCGGTCATCAGTGTTACATTATCCTTCAGAAATAATTCTAATATGGTGCTCAGAAAGCATGTCTTATTACCAATGCTGAAAAAAGTTGAGCTCCTAAGTATTTATCTGAAAACTGTTATATATAATATATACAGTGTATATATATATATATATATATATATAAATTTCTCAGGAAAGTTCAAAAGATTTATTTGAGCATTTATTTGAAATAGAAATGTTTGACAGCGTTGTAAATGTCTTTACTGCCAGTTCTGATAAATGTTATAAAATGAGAATACGAGTATTAAGTGTTGTGAATTGAATGTAACTCTTTCTTATATGGTTTTCAGCACTTTGCCATTTTGCTGAAATATGTTATTCATGTTGCAATTCCTGATATTCCAAATTGGGTGGCAGATGAAATGGCCAAACTTGAATACCAGCGGAGAGAAGCTCTCAAGGTAGCACGATGAGCATAAACAATAACCAAATATTTTTATATTTGGTACTGATAAGTCATTCATTATTATCATGTTATGGCTAATAAATGTAATTTCTTGGTTTGGTGTGTTGAAAGGGCTTGGTTATTGTCTTTTGACAATGTGTTGTTTGTGCTTCAGAAACATGAACGCCTCGCTCAGCAACACCAACAGCAACAACGGAGGAAGTCTGAAGAAGAAGAAGAACATCAAAAACTGGCAGAGGAACTGGCACGGCAAGACAGTGAGCAAGACAAGTCTGATCTCAGAGGGGGTGAGGACCATCCCCATGAAAAAAGCTCAGGGGCCAAGTTCAGCTCCGGAGGAGATAAACTCAAGAGACCCAGCTCCCTTTTAGGCAACAATAACGTAATGAAACTCAAACAGATAATCCCACTCCAGGGTAAATTCACCTCTACCACTTCTCCCACAAGTGGTGAGGCCAAACTTCCAGGTTTTCTGAAGTTCCTCAAGTCTCAAGAGATAAAAAAGGAGGCCGCTGCAACAGTTGCGCCAGGGGCTACACATGGGAGCCACGAGAAATTACAGTCTCCCAGCAAGTCCTTCAACCCAGGCAAACTCTTTAACTTTGGAAAAGAAAATCCATGTTCTGGTGCTGGTTCTGAACAGCAAGCGAAACTAGAAGATGCCTCAAGGGCCACTAATGCACAACACACAAATGACCAAAATCAATCCTCATCAAAAGAGCTTTCATCCGAGGTTGAAAAGAGTGAGAGCTCAGACTTTGGTAATAATCTTTCAAAAAAACAGTGAATGAAATGGTTATACAACTCAGTTAATATATAGCACTGATTGTGATGCTTAACATTTGCTTAAATATCATAAAGAAACCATGTGGTGATTGGAACTGCATGTTAAAGATCATTTTAATACAATATATTAATTTGAGTTCTCCATGTTGTTTACTCACAGAAGGCGGCATGCTAAAACCTGCATGGCAAAATCTGTTTAGGCATGGGCAAGCAAGAAAGGACGTTTGAATGAGCACTGTATTCATACATTTTTTAAAAAGAGTTTCTAATTTTCTACACATTATTATTTTTCTTATATGAAACAGTAAATATGACAATCTAAAAATATTGTATTATCCTTGCTTATTTAGATCTTATGAGTGTGAACCCCTAATGCAATAAAATGGAATTACTGTGAAAATACATTTAAGCAGTTTATCAGACACAATATACACCGTTACTTCAGAGCCCTGTTTTTTTTTAAACATTTGTACTATCATCGTAATAAAAAGTAAATGCACATCAAATGCTTAAATAAAATATGATACCAAACATCATGACAAATGTTGTTTTTATTTGAATACGATTATTGTGATTTTAAACTTCAATACTTCAAGGTGAGCTGGTGTATCAAAGCAACTGTCCGGTCAGAGTCTCAATGTGTCAAGGATTTTCGTCCTTTGAGCATTCGGCGCAGGATTACTTCGATTCCACCTGGAGAGCTAATTCTTTTGATCCAGCCATGGGTCCTCTTTCGTTTAATGTTGTTTGGTTGATATTCTGTCCCACGCTTGACTGTGCGGACTTGTTGATGGTGCCAGAGTGGTTGCTGGAGAACACTGGCTCCATCTGCCTTGATGTCCAGGTTTCTTTGCAGGAAAGTTTTCTGCTCGCCCCCTGCCCTGGACAGAACCAAGGAACCGATAGAGCGTAGTTGACTGCAGCTGAATATGGTAGGGTGACTGCCATTACTCCTGTAATATAATTAGAACATAATGTAATGTAAAATTTTAAACATACATGCATGCACTGCAGAGGAGCCCTGAAGACTGCAACCAAGTGTGCCTCAAAACTGAATGGCAGAGTGACAATGTACAGATGACTTTGTACATTGGTCTGACTAGAATGACTAAAGAAAAATGAAAGGTAATATGAATATAAACATATTGTCGCTCTTAAAAAGAAAGAGACTAGCATTTATTGCACTGCATTTCATACAGCATATATGTACTATAAAAAAAATATCATTGCGCATATGCATATCTTTTAATGTTTTTCACTATGTTTTAGTGCAATTTATATTTAATCTAATTTTGCAATATATTCTCATTCGATTAATAACATTGTAGCATGTGTGGCAAAATGAGATTATCAGTACAGCTTATGGTCACAAAATAAAGTAACGTATAGCAAACTAAATTACCACAACTTGTTTATTAAAGAGATGAGTGATGCAACATACCAACGCAAACTCTGTGCTCCCGAAAAGCGCAAAAATACACGTAACGTGTTCATTTCGGCTACAGCTTCCTTCCATCAATATCATACCAAAGTCATCACGTGCTTAGTATCTCTTCCTCTGCTGGAATACTGTAAAGAGTTTTCAAAACTCACTACTGCCCCTTGAAGTCAAACTCGGAATATCATATGCGCAGCTGCACACTTGTAATATTTGTTTAATTTTAGTATATAAAAAACAGTAGCTTTTGGAAGGGAAAACATGCATGAATTCTTTCCACAGATAGTACAGCTCAGTATGCTGAACCATGAGTGAAGTGAACCAAATAGACAGGAGTGACTGGTGGGAGCAATAGAGCTGCGCCGCCGGAAGCGGAAGTGTGTCTTCAGTAACGACGTTCTGCTAGCTTTACGAACCACCAGGCTAATTCGGCAGCCAACAGTCGTTTAATTTCACAAACCTCTGAGGTACAATACTTTTAGCCGCCAATATGTTTAACAGAATGACAAGCCTATGGATGGGTGATGTAAGTATTGTGTTTTTACTTACTTTTCTTCGAAAATTCAGCGAGTGTGTAACGTTATGTAGGTTAGAAACCAGCAGCATGTGGTTTTAGCTCGACGTTACGCAAGCACAACCAACAGGCCAGAACATGTAAATACTAAACAGAACAAGTCACTACAGAAATAATCGAATTAAAATAGTGTTAGCTATATCGTATTATGTAACGTTAAACATGGTGATAATTAACGTTAATCCTTAAATTGTTTCCTCGTGTTTATTCTCGAGAAGCCCCTCATATTTGTAGCTACAAGTGTTTTTGTGTCGTAGTGTAAATATTGTGAATGTATGTCCGGTTTATGATTTGTAACTTAGTTAACTTACCAACTAAACGATCGTTAAAGTTTTATATCGCCGGTGATTGTGTGACGCAGACGTTTGTTTTCTCCTATAAATTATTAAAGTTTTATGTAAAATATGCTGACATCGATCTGCTGGGATTTAAGCCATTCATTTTATTATTTGTTTTTCAGTTAGACCCATACATGGATGAAAACTTCATTAAGCAAGCTTTCAGCACAATGGGAGAGACTGCCTACGGTGTCAAAATTATCACACATCGAGTTACCGGGTAAGATTACATGGATTCTCTCTAAATAGTGCAAGCAATAGTCTGTTCCGGAAGTAAAAAGACCCATTCGCTTTCTTTGAAGGGATTTTTTTAATGGTAATTTACACGGGTTAGACAAAGAAATGGAATCACTAGGTTTTAGACTTAGATCATTTGGGTTCGGTATCGGCCATAACAGCAATATTAAAATCGGTATCGGCCACAATTTTCAAGAGGTCCTCGCTGCAGTCTGTAGCACGATGACGTAGCTGGACGGTCCAATACGTAGTGGATGGATGTGTGTTTTGGTGACGTCATTTACGCATGCGCAGTGCCGATCTCTGATTATAATTCGAATGCATTTGTTTTAAGTGATATGTAAGCTCAATATTGTACTGAGATGATGTTCAAACTGTGTAGTATAATACTGTTAAATAATAATAAGTAACTATTGATGAATAAGTAAGGAAAATGCAAAAATAATAACAGCATAGGGGAAATAAATCTTGTAATAATAAACTCGCATTTATGTTATACATTCAGAATTGCGAGAAAAAAGGTCAGAATTCTGACTTTATAGCACACAATTGTGACTTTATTTCACGCAATTCTGTCTTTATAACATGCGAGTGAGGCTTTATTTCACCTAATTCGTTCTCTATAACATGCGATTAAGGCTTTATTTTACCTAATTCTGTCTATAACATGCGATTGAGGCTTTATTTCACCTAATTTTGTCTTTATAACATGCGATTGAGGCTTTATTTCAAGCAATTATGTCTTTATAACATGCGATTGAGGCTTTATTTCACGCAATTCTGACTTTATATCTCACAATTCTGAGAAATAAAGTCAGTATGCGAAAAGTATACTCGCAATTGTAAGGAAAAAGTCGCAATTATTAAAAAAAAAGCTCTGAACATAAGAGCTTCGCTCGTGACCATATTTAAATGTATTCTTGGAAGATCAAGGATTGTTCACCAACTCTCTACACTAACTAGGCCTATGAATTATTAATGTGCATGTGCCATCAGCGTTTATCACAGGATCGCGTTTAAAGTCTGTTTAGAGAGAACGGTGTCATCCCCTAATTTAATAGCAAATTCATTTCGACAGAATCAAAACTAACTAGCTGTAAAATAACATTATTCATGAACCGCTATAAAGCAAAAACAATCTGTTACATTAAATTAAAGCTGCTTTGAAACAATCTAAATTGTTAAAAGCGATATAAATCAAGATGACTTGACTTGACTAGTGCGCATGCGCGCGTTACAGGGTCCAACACGTATTGGACCATCCAGCTACGTCATCGTGCTACAGGCTGCAGCGAGGGGTGTCTCACAATTTTCACATCGGTGCATCATTAGTTGGCACCAATGAAACTGACATTTGGCAACCCAAATCCAAGCCTACTGATAGACCTACTATGAGCAGCCTGCATCATTTCAATTACATTTTTTTAAAATAATTGTTTAACAGTGGATTTCCTGGTAAAAAAATCACTTTACCTATGATTCTGCAGAAAATTCTCCACCAGAGTCAAGCAAATCACACTAACTTTTAGCACCGTTCACGATAATTAAAAATGACAGTCAGTTTCCCTACATTATCAAACTAAATATATATAGCTTAAAAGTGTAAAATGTTGTTAGTCTATAAATAATAAACATCTATAGGCATGGGATTGTAGTTCTTTTGCACAGTACACAGTCTTATATACGAAGAGTTCAGATGCTAAAGCCTCTAAATGCCATTTGAAATTTTCTTCTTTAATGATGATTTTTATCAAGCTTGTATATTTAAGTTCAGTGATTTCACTTAAATGGCAATGATAATTACCTATTAATTGTTATTTAAGTGAAATTACTGAACTTAAATATACAAGTTTGATAAAAATCATCATTAAAGAAGAAAATTTCAAATGGCATTTAGAGGCTTTTGCATCTGAACTCTTCATACATTTTGTCCAATTTTCAAATAACTGTTCTGTATTTCCTCAGAGGCTCGGCTGGATACTGTTTTGTGGAGATGGCAGATGAGGCCAGCGTTGATCGTTGTGTGCAGCGGCTTAATGGGAAGCTGGTTCCAGGATCAAATCCGGTGAGACGCCAAACTTGCATCCATTAAATTGTATAGGTCACCTATACAATTTAATCTATATTTGAATTCAATACATTCATATATTTAGATTATTATAGGAAGGCATATCCAGCATGGCCCCCACCTCATATGAGACATTTCAGTTATCACTCTATACATTACTAGTGATGGGCAAGTTACAGAGCTCAATTTCTTCCCTAAGGAAGGTGGTTGAGGCTGTTTATAAAATGACTTTGTTTGAAGCTGGTGAATAAACTCTGTTAGGAACTAGCTGACGAATGGGATAAAGCCAGTACTGATTGGTGGAGGTATGTGGAAATAATAGCTTCCTTACTCAAATAATAAGACACTTTGTTAGCGAATTATGTCCATACTACAAGCAAAGTGTCATTCCACTTGCTCAATGGTTTTATTTCTTTTCTTTTCAGCCCAGGAAGTTCAAGCTAAACTATGCAACATATGGGAAAAGGCCTGAGCCTGGGTAAGCACACATTGTCCATAATAACATCTTGTTTTCTGATCTCTTTTTGAGAAATCAAACAGAAATCAGTTGGTTCATTCTGTGACGGGTCAACTAGATGGGCCCGGCTCAATTAATATTTTGTTAATATTTTTTTTTTTTTCTGAAGAAAGACTAACAAAAATAGGAATGAAAGCCTATTGCCAAATGCAATGGATAAATATTTACAAAGTAATCCATTATTTTGGATTACTTTGGGGGGAATGACTATTTTAACTTAAAATACCAATACCAATAACAATACCATGTCTCTTGTGTGCAGGAATTATAAATTTATTATTTTTTTCATTTTAGTTAGTATTGAGCAAAAAATGAGTTTCAGAGTTCTGGGGTTTCCTTAGCAAAATGTTTCTTGTTAGAACCAAACAGATGTTAAGGAAGTTATTTTTATTATAAGAAAACATTGAAAAGTTTGAAAATAATAAAGTCAATCACTGCTGTTTTATTTTCAGACAGATGCAGTTGTAACCTAAACATTTTATTTGTGTATTTAACATTTGTTGATTGGGTCTGTTAACTGATGTTGGCTCCAGACAAGTTAAAGAACCAGAATCTATAAGAATAGTGAGATAATACTTGAGTTACATGCTAGCAAACTTTGGAAAAATAATATGTATGGTACTTAGACAGGCATGTTCTGTGCCAGTGGTTTTCAACCTGTAGGCTACGGCCCCCAGTGGGTTGCGACGGTATAAAAAAATAAATATTAAACTGTTACTGACATGTATTCACAAGGGCTGCTCGATGTATCGAACAATGATCGTCATCGCGATAATAGTAAATGCAATATCCGTATCGCAGAGAGGTGTCTGTATGTCTGAAATATGGCAATATTCAATAGAGAAGTGTCACAAATACAGGTACTGTGTAAGAGGCCGGGAGACATATCGCGTATAAAAACGCCTGGAAAGTCCTTACTGTCAGTAAGGTAATAAGTATCAGCAAAGGATTCATTGATTTCTAGACCTTGTATTAGCTTTACTTCTAGATATATTTATGGAGATGAGAAATAAAAACCTGCCCTGTTAAAAAACAAAACGTGATATGTGATAACCGTAACATAAGTGATGGTGTCAATAAGTTGTGCGGAAAAATTGTGGCCACATCGAGAGGAAACTAATCTTCACGGTCATCTCATCTGAAAGGCAGCCTCAGGGCTATGAAGACTTCAAAAAGTGTAAGCCCACATCTACCAAAACTGCTAACGAAATGCCACGTAACAATAACAGAGTCTCAAAGACAACTGTTCATTAAAGTTTTGCAAGTATAACTCCATCGGAAAAAAACCCTGAGATATTCTTTTGAAGATTAGATTATATTTCAACCTACCTGTTTATTTTAGTCTAATCATTACATATAAATTATTTTTTTTTAAAAAGGGAAATTTTATA